CCACTCTACATTTAACAGACGCATCGTTGCAAGCCTATCGCTACTGTATCGCTGTTCCCATAGCAAATATTTAGATAAGCTTCATTCGTTAGCTTCATTAGTTCAGGGCTTTACTGCAACACGCGCCATTCCCTTTCCACAGAGCCGAATCATCCGCATTTCCCCTGTATTCTAAAAGCAAGAAGAGAGATCCATTCACCTTTTTTCAAGAACTTTGCGTGGATATTTCTCAGAATACTCTAATGCTCCGTCGTTATCTATCGTTCTGATCCTTATAATATTATCTTCTTTTTACTCCCTCTTAAATTCGTATCATCCAGTAAAACTCTATAATAAGTGACTCTTGGATGATTCCTTGACTCCTTGTATTGATCTTTAACAAAACATAAAGTTACTCAGTATCACAGATCATCGATATTAAAATGACTTTGATGCTCTATGGATCTCCCTCTGCTTGTGCCATTGTACAAGAGTTGATTACACTTAAGAAATACTACATCTGTGCCTTAAGAAGTGTTTCGCTTAGAGTGGGAAAATTTTTATGCAAATGTATTAAATAAATATGGAATAGCAAGCTGAGTGCTACAAAATAAAAAAAAAATGTGTGCATTGGTGCAATTGGGCGGCTAAATTAGATTTTAAAAGTGCGGGGAGCGAAATCAAATGTTAAAAGTGTTAGAGGGTAAATTAGATAGAAAAAATGGTGGTTAAATCAGATGTCAAAAGAGGTGGGGTAGAAATCAGATATAGAACGTCGTGGTTAAATCACATGTTGAAATGATGGGCGCGAAATCAGATGTCAAAATTGTGTGGGCGAAACCAGATGTAAATGTAATGGTTAAATCAGATGTTAAAAATGGTGGGGTCGAAATCAGTGGGTAAAAGTGTAGGGGTAAATCAGATATAAAAAGAATGGGTGATAAATCAGAGTTTAAAAATGGTAGGCTCGAAATCAGAGGGTAAAAATGTAGGGCTAAATCAGATATAAAAAGTGTGGTATAAATCAGATATTAAAAATGGTGGGGTCGAAATCAGTGGGTAAAAGTGTAGGGGTAAATCAGATATAAAAAGTGTGGTTTAAATCAGATGTTAAAAATGGTGGGGTCGAAATCAGTGGATAAAAGTGTAGGGGTAAATCAGATATAAAGAGATTGGGTGATAAATCAGAGGTTAAAAATGGTGAGGTCGAAATCAGTGGGTAAAAATGTAGGGGTAAATCAGATATAAGAAGAATGGGTGATAAATCAGAGTTTAAAAATGGTTGGCCCGAAATCAGAGGGTAAAAATGTAGGGGTAAATCAGATATAAAAAGTGTGGTTTAAATCAAATGTTAAAAATGGTGGGATGGAAATCAGTGGGTAAAAGTGTAGGGGTAAATCAGATATAAAAAGATTGGGTGATAAATCAGAGGTTAAAAATGGTGGGATCGAAATCAGAGAGGTAAAAGTGTAGCGGTAAATCAGATATAAAAAGATTGGGTGATAAATCAGAGGTTAAAAATGGTGGGATCGAAATCAAAGGGTAAAAGTGTAGGGGTAAATCAGATATAAAAAGTGTGGTTTAAATCAGATGTTAAAAATGGTGGGATCGAAATCAGAGGGCAAAAGTGTAGGGGTAAATCAGATATAAAAAGTGTGGTTTAAATCAGATGTTTAAAATGGTGGGATCGAAATCAGAGGGTAAAAGTGTAGGGGTTAAATCAGATTTTAAAAGTGTGGTTTAAATCAGATGTTAAAAATGGTGGGGTCGAAATCAGTGGATAAAATTGTAGGGGTAAATCAGATATAAAAAGATTGGGTGATAAATCAGATGTTAAAATGGTGGGGTCGAAATCAGTGGATAAAAGTGTAGGGGTAAATCAGATATAGAAAGATTGGGTGATAAATCAGAGGTTAAAAATGGTGGGATCGAAATCAGAGAAAAAAATCAGATATAAAAGGGGGTTTAAATCAGATATAAAATGGTGTGGTTTAAATCAGATGTTAAAAAATAGATATAAAAAAGTGTGGTTTAAATCAGATGTTAAAATCAGTGGGGGTAAATTAGATATAAAAAGTTTGGGTGATAAATCAGAGGTTAAAAATGGTCGGATCGAAATCAGAGGGTAAAAGTGTAGGGGTAAATCAGATATAAAAAGATTGGGTGATAAATCAGAGGTTAAAAATGGTGGGATCGAAATCAAAGGGTAAAAGTGTAGGGGTAAATCAGATATAAAAAGTGTGGTTTAAATCAGATGTTAAAAATGGTGGGATCGAAATCAGAGGGCAAAAGTGTAGGGGTAAATCAGATATAAAAAGTGTGGTTTAAATCAGATGTTTAAAATGGTGGGATCGAAATCAGTGGGTAAAAGTGTAGGGGTAAATCAGATATAAAAAGTGTGGTTTAAATCAGATGTTAAAAATGGTGGGGTCGAAATCAGTGGGTAAAAGTGTAGGGGTAAATCAGATATAAAAAGATTGGGTGATAAATCAGAGGTTAAAAATGGTGGGATCGAAATCAGAGGCTAAAAGTGCAGGGGTAAATCAGATATAAAAAGATTGGGTGATAAATCAGAGGTTAAAAATGGTGGGATCGAAATCAAAGGGTAAAAGTGTAGGGGTAAATCAGATATAAAAAGTGTGGTTTAAATCAGATGTTACAAATGGTGGGGTGGAAATCCGTGGGTAAAAGTGTATGGGTAAATCAGATATAAAAAGTGTGGTTTAAATCAGATCTTACAAATGGTGGGGTGGAAATCAGTGGGTAAAAGTGTAGGGGTAAATCAGATATAAAAAGAATGGGTGATAAATCAGAGTTTAAAAATGGTGTGCTCGAAATCAGAAGGTAAAAGTGTAGGGGTAAATCAGATATAAAAAGTGTGCTTTAAATCAGATGTTAAAAATGGTGGGATCGAAATCAGAGGGTAAAAGTGTAGGGGTAAATCAGATATAAAACGTGTGGTTTAAATCAGATGTTAAAAATGGTGGGTTCGAAATCAGAGGGTAAAATGTAGGGGTAAATCAGATATAAAAGATTGGGTGATAAATCAGAGGTTAAAAATGGTGGGATCGTAATCAAAGGGTAAAAGTGTAGGGGTAAATCAGATATAAAAAGTGTCGTTTAAATCAGATGTTAAAAATGGTGGGACGAAATCAGAGGGCAAAAGTGTAGGGGTAAATCAGATATAAAAAGTGTGGTTTAAATCAGATGTTTAAAATGGTGGGATCGAAATCAGTGGGTAAAATTGTAGGGGTAAATCAGATATAAAAAGTGTGGTTTAAATCAGATGTTAAAAATGGTGGGATCGAAATCAGAGTGTAAAAGTGTAGGGGTAAATCAGATATAAAAAGATTGGGTGATAAATCAGATGTTAAAAATGGTGGGATCGAAATCAGAGGGTAAAAGTATAGGGGTAAATCAGATATAAAAAGATTGGGTGATAAATCAGAGGTTAAAAATGGTGGGTTCGTAATCAAAGGGTAAAAGTGTAGGGGTAAATCAGATATAAAAAGTGTTGTTTAAATCAGATGTTAAAAATGGTGGGATCGAAATCAGAGGGCAAAAGTGTAGGGGTAAATCAGATATAAAAAGTTTGGTGTAAATCAGATGTTTAAAATGGTGGGATCGAAATCACTGGGTAAAATTGTTGGGGTAAATCAGATATAAAAAGATTGGGTGATAAATCAGAGGTTAAAAGTGTAAGGAGTTAAACCTGATGTTAAAAGTATAAGGGGACAAATAATGTGTTCAAGTATTGGGTTTAATCAGATGTTAAGTTTTAAAGATTTCTAATTTTTATCTGACCTGATAAAATGAATATTTTTCGCTCTATTATCCGACTGTAAATACTTTTTGTTTTGTTTTTAAATAAAAAAAAATCCTTTGCTGTCCGCTTTTTTCTATTTTCTATTATACGACTAAATCGAAAACTTTCCATATACAAGACTTATAAAAGTGTTAGAAGCAAATGATTCGACAAATTTTTCTGATTTATTTTGTAAATGAATGCACTAAAGATTTTTAGATAAATGCTAAAACTAAGCATAATAGCATTCTCATAGGAAAAAATCTAATTTTCAGTTTAGTTCTCAAGAGTAGGAAAAAGTGTAGGGATCTTTTTTATACTGCAGAGATTTTTTATTTTTCTTATACTGCGGACATCTTTTATTTTTCTTATACTGGGGACATCTTTTATTTTTCTTATAATGCGGGCATCTTTTATACTTCTTTTACAGCGGACATCTTTTACTTTTTTATACTGCGGACATTTTTTATTATATTGCGGACATCTTTTATTTTTCTTATACTGCGGACATCATTTTTTTAAAAATACTGTGGACATCTTTTATTCTTATATTGCGGTCATCTTTTACTTTTTTATACGGCAGAAAATTTTTTTATACTGCGGATATCTTTTGTGTTCTTAAACTACAGTCATCTTTTTTCTTATACTGAGGACATTTTTTATTCATCTTGTACTGTGACATCTTTTATTTTTCTTTTACAGCTGACATCTTTTATTCTTATACTGTAGATATTTTTTTCACACTGCAGACATTTTTAATTTTCTTAAAATGCGGACATCATATTTTCTTATACAGCGGGCATCTTTTATTTTTCTTATATTACGGACATCTTTTATTTTTGTACTGCAGATATTTTTTATTTTCTTAAACAGCGTATATTTTTTTCTTATAATGCGGACATCTTTTATTCTTCTTATAATGCGGGCATTTTTTATTTTTTATCCTGCAGACAACTTTTATTTTCTTATACTATAGACATCATTTTTTCTTATACTGCGGACATCTTTTATTTTCTTAAACTACGGACATCTTTTTTGCTTTTACTGCGAACATCTTTTATATTTTATACTGCATACATTTTTAATTTCTTAAATTGCGTACATCTTTATTTCTTATACTGCGGAATGTTTTATTTTTCTTATACAGCGGAGATCTTTTTTCTTATACTGCAGACATTTTTTATTTTCTTATACTGCGGACATCATTTTTCTTATAATGCGGACATCTTTTATTCTTCTTATACTGCGGAAATCTTTTATTTTTCTTATACTGCAGACAAATTTTATTTTCTTATACTATGAACATCATTTTTCTTATACTGTGGGCATCTTTTATTTTCTTAAACTACGGAGATCTTTTTTCATAAACTACAGACATCTTTTTTGTCTTATACTGTGAGCATCTAGTTATTCTTTTTTTCTTTTTATATAGAGCATTCATTGTACGCTTGAATCTTCCCCTCTTTTTATTTTTATTTTGTTTTTGTATAATACAAACTTATACAGTATTCGTTCTCTCTTTCTTCCACAACGTTTTCCATGCATCCACAGCGCACGCGCATATATTCCCTCCTCCACACGCTGATTGTTCCATACTGCTTTCCGTTCTTTATACAATGGACACATACAGCTTTTTTTTCTCCTCCTTCTACCCAACTATCTTTTGATAATACTCGAAATACACTAATTTCACACACCCGCATTCTTTCGCAATCTCTCTTGCACACACAGACTCATATTTCTTATACACAAATACGCATACGCATGTACGGCTAGTCAGTGACATATAGCCACGTGTATAGCGAAGACTATCCTACTAAAAAGCGAACAAATCGAGGAATAAAAAAAAGAAAGAGAGGCGAACTAGGTTAGTACATGTGTACTGAGGAGAGCGGTGATCAGGCCACTTCCCAGCGCTTATTGCTTTACTGCAACTTAAGGTGCACACATACCACGTAACCCCATCCATCTGAGGCAGTCCACGCGTGTGCATTTATGGCAAACCTACTCGATCATTACCGACGCCGGGCCTGACGCCATTTAAATCGGTTACCAATGCCCGTCTTCATTAAATTCGGACATTTTGCGCAGTAGATTCCTACCTTATTTAGTGTTCTTTTTTTTTAAATTTTAGTTAGGAGAATTATCCGATCATTTCTATCTATCTATCTATCTATCTATCTATCTATCTATCTATCTATCTATCTATTTATCTATCTATCTATCTTTCTATTTATCTATCTATCTATCTATCTATCTATCTATCTATCTATCTATCTATCTAACTCTTTCTTTTTATCTATCTATCTATCTATCTATCTATCTATCTATCTATCTATCTATCTATCTATCTAAGTCTCTTTCTTTTTTTATCTATCTATCTATCTATCTATCTATCTATCTATCTATCTATCTATGCAATCCAGTTTTAATGTTAAAGTCATTTTTTCATCTGCCAACAGGCCACAATAATGCAGCACAACGGACCACAAAGTCAAACCTTTAGATTAGATATGAAAGACTGGTTTACTTCTTAGCCCAATATTGTAACAAGTTTGGTGTATAACAAATCTGAAAAATAAAAATCTATCGGCCTACATTTTGACTGAAATAAAAGCGTATTTCCTTTCTGTCCCAGAAATCTGTACTAAACTACGTAAAAGCCAACATTTTGAATGTTAATTTACCAAAGTTGAAGGTCTTTCCATCTAGGAAGGTTGGAACAGTACAAACTTCTTCCATTCTATCTTTTTTTTTTTTTTAGCTTTATAATATATTAAAATATCTCTACAAATCAAATACAATGTCCGTCTCTCTGTCTCTCTGTCTGTCCGTCCGTTTACCATAATCTAAGCAACTGCTGGATTGATTTCAACCAAACTTGACATGCAAATAGGCTATGACCCTGTATGTCATAGGCTATGTAAAGTTAACCTAGGTCAACCATGAAGGTCGTGAAAGGTTAAATATAAGGTCAAAGAAGCCATTTCTCATGAAAGTTAAATATTTATTCCCACGTCTAAATATCGTGGCAAGGGAGGTAAATCAATGTATGGCAGTAAATTAATGTAGGATGACTTACTGTCGGGATTCTAATAATCTATACAAATAAAATGAAGGGTCTGTCTGTCTGTCTTTTCATTTACACAAAATTAGTTCCCGAATATTACCGGGCAACTAATTTGTGTAAATAGGTTAGTAATGAAACGAAAGAAAAAACGAGGGTTAATCGAAGGAAAAGGAGTAATTTAATTAAATCTAAGTTTAACAGTAAGTCAGTTATGTGCCATGCGTGATACACGCTTAGTCGATCATGTATCTTTCGATACATAACTGACGAAGCAGAGGTTTTTTTTTTCTCGCAGTAGGTTGCCATTTCTTTCTGCGGTAGATCAGTTGCCATCCAAGGCTATAGAATCCGGTCTGTCCTGCTATTTACTCATAGATGGGGCGAGAAGAAGCGGATTCATACCTTTTCCAAGGGCATTATCACATAAGTGAATGTAATGGATTCGACTGGAATCGCTATCTATTATTCCACCGTGCCTCAACGGTGACACCCACAAGATATTAATGAATTTATTTAAAAAAGAGGAATATGTTGATCCACACGGTATAGGTTGGGAATTAATCCCAACATTTAATATTAGCGAAAAAATAAAAAAATAAAATGTGCTTTTGTCCCATTTAAAGTATTGAAATTGAACGGATTTATCCCAACGTCATTTTGCTCAAAACAGTCCCTCATTTTGGGATTGCCATCAGCTGCTACGTTGTATTCTCCTTAAACTCGTACAGAATTTCTGCCTTTGCAAAACAATTGACAAGAGACTTATGGAGAAAGATTTGCACTGCAGTGGTGCCGACAGACCGGGGCTGATGCGATGTTTGAAAAAAAAAAGAAAAAAAGAAAAATGCCACTGCATATGATTTTGTTAATTTATTTGTTCTTGAATTCTAACTGAAACTGTGACGCAGTACATAAACTAACTTAATGTCTCAAGGACAACTGAATAATTCTGAGTTTTTGTTCAAACATGCGCAGTAACGCCCTTTTTGATTGGCTGTTAAATTACATCATGACCATGCAACCGGTTATCAAAGTATTAGAAATAGATGGACAATTTTCAAAGAGATCTAGTATATTGATAAAAGGCAGATATGAAAATATATATATATATATATATATATATATATATATATATTATTTACACGTTATTTTTATGAATGTAATCGAACCTGTAACCCTAATAGATTCCTGTCAGAGAGTGCATATTTTCTACGAAATTTCTCGAACATTCAGGCCGGTAAATGTAATTAATACTGTTTAATTAAAAAAACGGAACATTTATTTAAATAAATTATATCTATAAAAATAACGTATAAACAGAAAATATATTAGATAATTGTCGGACTTAATCCATTTCATAATACATACGCAAGCAAACACACACACGCACACGCACACACACACACACTCATACACACACACATATATATATATGTATGTGTGTGTATGTATACAAATCAGTCAAAAGTACTTATTTTTTTATTTATTAGAGAGAAAGCTACACAGCAAATTTGACATACTTTTAGTCCTCAAAGTAATACCCATCGGTACCCAGAACATTGGGCCAACGTCCCCCAGCTGTGATATGACCTGGGGTCTAAAATCCAAGTGTCTTGGACGCAAATAAGTCTTTGAATGCGTGCTGCAAGTCGGTCTTATCTGCGAAAGATTTCCCACGAAGACGGTTGTCCAAGGAATGGAAGAGGTGGTAATCCGTTAGCGTAAGTTCCGAGGAGTAAGGTGGATGCCAGCCAAGTCGCCATATGGTATCCCTGCCCACCCTCGACATATGAGACCTGGCATTGTCATGGAAGAACAGTGCACTCTTGCGATTAACCAATTCTGGCTCATTCTGCTGCACTGCCTGAAAGTTTTATAAGATCAGCGCTGATCTTATAAAACTTTCAGTTATTTGTTTGGATAAGTCTTGTTCTTATGTACATCGTCTTTGTCATGTTGTATTGATAATGTTATAATTTATGAATATGTCCCGAAGATGGTTTATTAGACCGAAACGTCCGACATTGACATATTAACATTAAAACAGCAAAATTGTATATAAGGATTTTTGTTTGTTTTTTCCGTATATATTTTTCTTCATACTGTCGGATCTATATCCATATATTTGTTGATATATATATATATATATATATATATATATATATATATATATATATATATATATATATATATATATGAAGCGTGAAGGACTGAGTGAGTATATTTTGAAACTTATCAGGATTTCCTTCTCGTTGTGCTTATTATTGCAATTAATAAATTTACCAAATCGTTTTTAAGAAAATCGCAAGAAATAAAACTGAATCCTCGTTAGGGACAATATATGTCGTTCCGGGGATAAATCTTTAGCCTTCAGACAGGAAAAAAGTATCAAGACCTCTCCAAGATTAGATTCGGTTCTGCGTACTAATTTCCTGGGATGAAAATAAAATAAAAAAAAACCCAAAAAACAAACAAGACAGAACAAAAACAAACTCATATGGGATTTAGCTTCATTGAAATAATTGAAACCACATGAAAGGACGTCGTCAAAGTTTCTGCTCCGCGTAATGCTCCTACTTATCGAATCTGTTCGTTCGTTCGAATAGGTGGCTAGTTATACAAAAAAAAACAAAAACAAAAAAGGGCGGACTCTTGAGGCTACTGCGTAGAGGAGGTGGTCGTGCATTACTTAAGATCTAATGGTTAGGAATTCGAAAGCTGGCAGAGCATCGCTAGCGATGTAGCCACAATCAGAAATCCATTTTGTATAAATAAGAAAAAAAAAGGAGGATAATTGTGTATATTGCTCATGGGTATCTATCTATCTATCTTAGGCTGTTTATATCTATCTATCTATCTATCTATCTATCTATCTATCTATCATATCCGTAATTCTTTGAGTATATTTCTTTCTTTCTTTCTTTCTTTCTTTCTATCTATCTATCTATCTATCTATCTATCTATCTATCTATCTATCTATCTATCTCAGTCTATTCATATCTATCTATCTATCTATCTATCTATCTATCTATCTATCTATCTATCTCAGTCTATTCATATCAGTCTATTTATATCTATCTATCTTAGTCTGTTCATATCTATCTATCTATCTATCTATCTATCTCAGTCTATTCATATCTATCTATCTATCTATCTATCTATCTATCTATCTATCTATATCAGTCTATTCATATCTATCTTAGTCTGTTCATATCTATCTATCTATCTATCTATCTATCTATCTATCTATCTATCTATCTATCATTCTTTTTAATATCTATCTATCTATCTATCTATCTATCTATCTATCTCAGTTTATTCATATCTCTCTATCAATCTGTCTTATCGATCGACCATTCGTTTAATATCTATCTATCTATGCAAGATTTTATTGTACAAGTCAATGTTTTAACAATAACATTCTTACTAATAAACCAATGATTTTCAAGATATATATATATATATATATATATATATATATATATATATATATATATATATATATATATATATATATATATATTCCTACATATTACATCGGTGAGAAGTAAGTTCCACACTAGCAGCTTCTTCCTGCGAACCACTGTTTGTGGATGCCTGGTTTGACGAGTCTACATTTCTGCTACGGCAATCGTAAAATAGGGACAGAATTTGATGTAAACAACATAGAAGGATAGATGCATCCCGATATATATCAACGATTGCTGGTGGTGTTACCATGGTATGGAGACTATTTTCTGCATATATATTGCGATCCTTAGTACCAGTAAAAGATCGTTTAAATGTGAAAGCCTACCTAGCGAATGTACCTTAGTTATTTATGACTACGATGTTCCCCTTTCTCTGGGGACCAATTCCATATATATTTGAATATTTTTATACAGTGAGAGTCACAATTTACAAGGCCCGGGGCGATTAGAGGTAGAGGGTTACGTTAGGGGGCCATTTATGCATATAGGTGAAGGACACAACGGTTAACCTTAGCCTTGAATAGGTTAAGCTTGTAGTGATCGTGGAAACATCCTGTCGGGAGTCGATTCCACAGGGCAGTGGTTCACAGGAAGAAGCTACTCGTGTGGAACTTACTTATCACCGGTGTAATATGTAGGGAATACGGGTGGTTTGGTACAATCTAAGTGGCATGGCGTGTTCTTGTCATGAAGCTTTGCCCTGACGGGACCAGAGAATGTAGTTTGGCCGAGCACTTTCCATGGAATGCTTGCCACATACAGGCCGTCAATTACTAATGCATGAAATAGAATTTTACAGATTGGCCTGGCCATGTTTGAATGCCAATATCCGTTAAATTGCTTGCATGTCATTGACTGATTAGAAATTTGTTTCAAAGTGTATTTGTTAATATGTAATTAATTAAGTAGCCAGTGAGTGCAGATTATTCTTTTAATTTTGATAATAAATTATTTGGTGAATTTCAGGTTTTATTATACAAAGTGTAACAAGATTCTGTGTGTAAATAAATCCAAAGCATATCGGTTACAGAAACATATATTTGCATAACCCAATATCCTATATACCTGAATAAAATTATCATTTTATTATTTTTTTATATGAGCTCCTTGATATTCGATAACCTTCCATATAGTTTATCTCTTGAGTTTGGTAACTATTCAGCTGTTTCGACTTTAATGCTACTTGCAGCAGTTTTAATTGCTTCCTAGAAATCTTTTTTGCCTTGAATATTGTTTTCTGTTCTCGCATACATATATTTTTAGGATGGGCCATGAGGTTTCTATCGGATTAATATCTCTAGAGGCTTGGTCTCGTTTCATTCATTTGGTGTTTTTGAAGCATTTTTTTTTTGTTAAAGTTGGCAATAGCTGGTTTTGCAGAATATGAAAGAGCATTGGATGCGTTGGTAGTGTAAAGTTTAGCGACTCGAACAGAGAAATCAGCAAGTTGAGTTCGAATCCTGGCTGGGTTCGTTTCATTCGCTTTCACACAAATAACCCTTAAGAAAGTTACTTTTGCGATGTCAACGAACACTCGTTTGACACTTTCGTAATATCAACAAATACTCGTTGTCACTTTTGTAATGCTCGTTGTAGTTGAGGCTTTGTGATCGCAGATACAACTATAGTAACGCCGTTGAACAATACTGGTGTCAGACGCCTTCGAATATCACTAGCGCTAATAGTACTCGATAATACTCGCTCGAATAGTAACTACCGTATAGTAATCTGAATAGAGAAATAGCATAGTGAATGGAGTAGAGAATAGCGTCCCGTATACTAATAGAGGATAGAATAGAAATTACGTATAGTAATAGAGGATAGAGTAGAAATGATGATCATTAGTTGTCAGCTACTTCCTACATATATGCGTTTCTTCTATAGTCACGTGATCCACTTAATTCAATAATGGGATCGCCTGTGTTTGCTCAATGGCAATCTGTGTTCAAACTCAAGTGTCGGCAGTGACGTTTTATTCCTATAAAACAGTTATGAATCCATCTCTTTTCCCCAAAGCTATGGGTTAAATATCCCAGTTGACGGAACTCTCTTGCCTTGAGATGTCAAACAGTCTAGGAAATTGCAACTGCGAGAGAATGGGGTCAGTCAGGTTATCTTGGCCGAGAAACCCCAGTGCTGCTATAGCTGTGATATACTTAGTGCCCCTTACGACCCTAATGTGTTGCGGGGTTCGTGATGTGATGTAACGGGAAGGAACATTGTATTGTATAAGTATTATCTTTAGTTCAGCGGTTGTGACCTGTAACACTCAAAAATATATTTTCTAAGACATTACAATAATTAACTGCATTTACATTAACGCCATATTCATTTATAAAGGGCCCTATAATTTTACTTCCTAGAGTACTTGCCAAATTCATTACTCAGCCCTGCTGCTGTTTTCTAAGTTGTGTTAGTTGACGATTTCCAAGAAGCTTTCAACATCTAAAAGATCAACCAATATAGCTCTACATTCATCATTACCCCTGATGTTGCCCTACATCCATTATTACAGTTCGGAATTCAGTTTTCATGTACATTTTCACCGAAATTAAACATTTCTCCGTAATAGTCATTTAAGAATGGGCGATTATTTGCTTTCATGCCTTAAGCCAATGTTAATAGTCTGCATAATCTTGAACTTTTTGTCTTCAATCCTCAAACTTTTAAAATATTTTCCTGCTTATCTTTCTATATCTCTGAGATGAGGTATTATGATTATTTACATTATTTACATTATTAGGATTGTTATCCTCATATTTCATTGCCCTATTCACAAGGACACATGGCCCAGTGTATAAAGACGTTGGTTAGATCCAGTGACTAGCTTCTAGTGACAGAATGGCTGTCTATATCCATGAAATGAGGTATTAGGATTATTTACATTATTTACATTATTCGGACTATTATCCTTATCTTCATTGCCATATTTACAACGTTTCGGTCGTTGTACGCTCCGGCCTTCTTCAGGTGATTGGAATATCGAACTGAACCCTCAAGGACACATGGCCCAGTGGATAAAGATGTTGGTTAGAGCCAGTGACTATACCCAAAGAGTTGCGAGTTCAATACCAGCAGTGGTGAACCAAAAAACTTGAAGAGTTGAGTTTAAGGGAAATAACTGAGACATCCGGAAGAGGCGTGGCACCTTGAGCTTTTTTCTTCTGTTGCAGATTTACAGTCACATCACATTGAAACACTGCTTCGCTTATGATAACCGAAGTTAAGCAACGTCGATCCTGGTCAGTTCTTAGATGGGTGGTCGCTTGGGAATACCAGGTGCTGTAAATTTGGGTGTGCGAGTGGTGTAAAGGTTTGTAATTGGAAACTGGAGAGCCGAGTTCCAATCCTCGTTGGGTTCGTTATATTCAATTACGTGCAAATATTCCTGAGAAAGATATGAATCCACCTTTTCTACCCAGTTAATTAGTAAGATTTGTATCACTAAAACCAACATTACCTGAAAAAAAAAGTTGCGTACAAAATATTTAGATTTCGCCATTAAACAACCCCGAGGTTGATATGCCGCTAAAAAAAAAGAAAAAAAAACTATCTTTACAAAAATATACAGATTTACCTATACCGTAGAAAATGACAATAACTTTTGTTAAGTCCTTGCAATTAGCAAATACCCTTGGAAACGGTATGGAACCACCTCTTCTACGCGAAACTATGGGTTAAATAGTAAGACCTGTATCAGTAAAGCTGGTACAGGCCTTACTAGTTAACCCACTCCAATTCTTACAATCTAAAATATTTTCTGGATTTGAATAAACTGAAAAGGGGTTGATAAACTGTAGAAAACGAATCTATCCATCTATTTTTTTTTATTGCTGACAACCGTACATTATTTCTTCTTACAATTGATATTTAGTCTTTTCTTCTCGCTTTCCTTTACTATATTCTATAAGAGGTTTCTTTCTTTGTCTACCATCAACAGACTACGTATCTTATATTGTTTAAATTCTGATGGAATAGAATAAAAACAAAACGGAATTTAATATACGGTTTTCAGTCTTTTCTTGTATTCGTCTTTTTAGTTCTAAAGGAATAGTTGTTTAACTCAGTTACTTGAAAGCCTTTGTAATATGTTTTGATCTAAAAAGTAAAAGAGATTCCGTCTAACAAAAGGGACAAGTATTTCGCGTTGCCAAATATTTTCTTTTTGGTTAGTGCTCACGCACTTAGCTTTTTTTGCATGTTCCTATTTTCATTTAGGATATTTCTGTTCTGCCCTCCATTATTCTTTTTATTTATATGTATATTTTTTACTGTTGTTCGCCCAATACAAGGCTCAAGAGCCACTCAAGTTAGACGGTTACCGAATGGGGTTATTTGAAAGTAGATAACTGTTGACCGGAGACTTGAGGAAATTAAACTAGTAGCGATCGAGGAAGCATCATCTCGGGAGTCTTTTTTTCACAAAGAACCGCTTTGGACGGAGCTGTCCGAATGGTACTTCTTTCTTACTAATGGAATACAAGGGGAAATGAGAATGATTCGACGCTCTATACACCATGGCGTGATCTAGCTGTAGGGTCTGAACTGGTAGAATTAAGGAATGTAGGTCATCTAAACATTTGCCATAGCAATAGTGAGAGGCTTCCGATGTTTAGTCACTAGGATAAAGGTTGTAGGTTGGAAAATAATTCATCACCTACAAGGCTACGGTTCTAGGACAGTTGCATACTGAACATTTACCTCCTGGACAATTGCGTCTCTGGACATTTGCGTTCCTAGACAAATGCGTCTCTGGATAATTGCGTACCTCTGATAAATTTTTGAAGCTTTTAAAGGCAATTACCATAAATTTTGAAAAAAACAAACAAACAAAAAACAAAGGTAGTAATAAAATTAAAAAAAAAATGATTAAAAGGAATAAAATAAAAAATGTTTATTTTGTTTAAAATGCAATGACAGATTAACAGTGTTCCAAGATTGCTCCGCACATCGCCAATATATTTTTGTTTCTTCGGCGTTTTTCTTATGATAGTGTGATGTAATGGAATAACCAGTCACCCCCATGAATGATTACACTATAGGTAGTAAGTATCTATAAAGTCAACCGTCTGCGAGAGATTCGGGAGGGAGTGAGAGTGAGACGACGCAAGCACGTCCTACCTTCCAATTAGTGGCACTCACTAGATTGACCTGTGTTTATAACTTTACCGTATTTTATATTGTACTGGTTGTGTACAATAAACATTTCTTCTAGTATCCACTTGGTGTTATGTGTTTATTCCCTTAGCGCGGAATATAACATAGTGGTAGCTGCAATTTTCCTCGTCCACAAATATTTTTCCACCAGTGTTTGATTTTCGGAACTTAGCCATGGATTCCAAATAAAAATATATTCTATAAAATCCAGAATCTATTTGATGTTTGTGGTAAGCACTGCTGGAGTAAAACTCTAACTGCTATTTTAATTTTCTCTTGATTTCAAAAAGAAAGTTTTTTCTCTTTTTTTTATTTATGGTAACTACATTTCTGCTTGTTTAGAGTAATTAAAGGTATTGGTACACAACCCACCCACCACAAAAAAATATGTAACTTCAAAAAATTATCAGAGGTACGCAATTATCCAGGGACGCAAATGTCCAGGTACTCAATTGTCTGGTAGGTAATTGTCCGGGACGCAAATGTCCTGTCCACCCAAGGCTACATAGACACTTTCAAACTCGGTCGAGGCGGGAAAGTGAGGGCTGAGAAGTTCCAGCACACTTATAACAGCAGTACTCCATTTTGGAACTGATCTGGCTCTTGTGAAGGTATAGTATGCCAGAAGGAGTCAAATACTTTCTGATTTTAGTTTGTCTGGTGCTGGAATTCTTATTTCATAAGAAACGACATTTTAGCTGTATCCCACTGAGGAATCACACTGAGGAATGCTTTCTGACCTCAAATCCATTGACACACTTATCTTTTCACTATTTGAATTTCCGGTTTGAAAAATTATCATTATTTATGTTAATTACACTAGGGCTATTGTCGCTATCTTTTTTTTTTTTATTATCACAACGTTTCGACCGTTTTACCCATCATCAAGTGCTTATCGATCCGAGTAACCTTCAAGGAATTTCGAATTGAACACTTTATTCAATCTACAGGATATATCGTTCTCGCTCTGCTGTCCATATCAATCTCTTAATGGATACCGTACAAACCTGGGTCGGATAGTGTAAACTTGAACAGTACGAAAAAGAAGTTGACGAAATATTAGACATGGTCAGCAGAACGAAACAAACAACCCTGTAGATTAAATAAAAGGTCCAGTTAGAATTTCCCTGAAGATCGATAAGCACCTGAAGAAGGCAAAGAGTTCATGGCCGCCGAAACATTGTGATAAAAGTTAACAAAAATGGGGACAATTATCCGACTGTAAATAATTACTTTTTTCTTTTAAGTGTCATCTCTATTCAGAATAAAAGCGATCATGGATCTCCACAGCTTTCTCATATTTATGACCTCTTTTTTTGTCAGGTATTTATTTCTCCGTCCATTTTCTCAAACTTGTTAGATACTCGTTTACTTGTTTTGCGTTCGATATGTCCTGTATGTTTTAAATTTTCTAAATCGTCATTCCGTAGTATTTGCATCCCCCACACAAATTTAATTTGACTGTAATTGTTAGAAACTGTTTCTTTGTATTACTTATTTTAAAGGGAAATTCACTTGCCTCATTCTATGTCCATGGTATTCTTCGGTAGAAGCACATCTCGATTTCCTCAAGTTTTTATTTGTATATAAAGGATTTGGATGGATGACAGACATAACATTGAAACTACTATCTATTTTTCTTTTCTAATATTCTGTCCCTTAGTACTTTATTCATTTTTTTGAAATGTAACTTCACTATTTCCACCTACCTTCAGTTTTCCCTGTCACTTGTCGTCTTCTGTTATTACATTGTCTAGACAGTTACATTTTTGCGCTTGTTTTATTTTTAAGTTCCTGATGTGTAATCCAAAACTTGGAGTCTTTTTTGCTCACCGCCACACATACCCTCTTATTATCAATTGGTCCTTTCTCCACGCTTTTTGTTACAAAATGCATAGGTTGGTCCAGAATGGCAAACTACTGGTGAATACACCTGAGTGAAGTGGTTTAAACCCTGTACGCTTGTTTAAAGTTTGATATACGACTAAAAAGAAGCGAAGACATTAAGACGGCTGTAAGGATTATACCTGGCTGCACCCAGATTCCTAAGTGAGGCAAGTCAATTCGTGGCGATTCGTTTTAACTCTTTTTCACCATACCATTTACTTTGTAATAGGGACGTTGTTCTACCACTAGATATAATCTTAAAATAGCATCACATTTATTATGGAGACGAAGACCATAATATTTTACTTTAGGAACAACATCGTGCATATTTAGGAATAAGTTGAAGAAAGCTAAGAAACAACAATTTGAAAATTCTAACACTTTCACCATTTATATAAATTTTAAAATAGGATTCTAGTTTATTATAGAAATCATCATCGTGAATTCCTTCTTGAGGTCAGTGTCTTGATGACAAGGTGGTCTATGTTGATGACATAGGTATACAAAGTTGGTATAAGAATGTTATTGAACAAAAAATAAAAAAAAACTCTTCATCAAGTTTTTCAAAAGAAAGGAATCAAGATAAACTTGTTCAAAACAGAAACTATGGGCTTGAATTGGCACCAGTCCTGAAACCATTATAAAAATTCAGCATAGAGAATTAATAAATATTAAAAACTTCAAATACCTCAGTGCATGTATCACTTATAGCACATTTAGTAATGGAGATATGGAAATTTAATATAGAATAATCTGAGGTTGGTTTATTTTCCCCATCATCGCAAAATACTAAAAACCAAAAGATTAACCTGGGAATTCGAGTCATGTTCTTCGATAGCTTTGTCAGATAGAGACTTTCATGTGAATGTCATGCTTGGCGCCAAACCCTTTAAGAGACAACTAAATTGTCAGCTGCATACAACCGTTTTCTCAGATTAATGATTAAAAATTTCTTTGAGCGAATGACCTCTCTAGGTCTTGGAGAGGATTCTTTCTTCGAATCTCGTGGACTGGGGCTACAGAATCCCAAACTAAGCACTGTACCAGCTGACAATCTAACGCTTCACTTAAGGGCTTTCAACAACAGTAACAATTAAAATGACTATGTAACTCAAAGGGAAAATAAGGACATAAGGTGTTGATATTCCAAACTATTTCAAATAAAAATTTACAAAAGAAGACCCACCCTCATCAATACTGGAAAGAACAATAAGAGTAAATGGACACGGGGAATCTATTTTCCT